GGAACGGGAGCGGAATGGAGAGGGTGAGGAGCAGCACGAAAGGGGGAGCGGGAGGGGGAACGAGGCGGCAGCAGGGAAAGCAAGAAGGGAGGCTCTCCGCCTCCTCCTTCTCCTCCTCATCATGATCATCATCACCATCATCAGCCTCCTCCTCCTCCTCCTCCTCCTCGTCATCATCTTCATCATCATCATCATCATCATCATCATCATCATCATCATCATCAGCATCATCATCATCATCATCATCATCATCATCATCATCATCATCATCATCATCATCATCATCATCATCATCATCATCATCATCATCATCATCATCATCATCATCGTCGTCGTCGTCATCATCATCATCATCATCATCAGCATCAGCATCAGCATCATCATCATCATCATCATCATCATCATCGTCATCGTCATCGTCATCGTCATCGTCATCGTCATCAGCAGCAGCATCTCACCACCACCACCACCATCACCATCACCATCATCATCATCATCATCAGCAGCAGCAGCATCATCTCACAACCACCCCCACCATCAGCATCAGCATCATGATCATCATCATAATCATCATCCTCATCCTCATCCTCATCATCAGCATCATCATCATCATCAGCATCAGTATCAGTATCAGTATCATCATCATCAGCAGCAGCAGCAGCATCAGCATCATCATCATCAGCATCATCATCATCAGCAGCAGCACCATCATCAGCAGCAGCAGCATCCTCATCATCCTCATCACCCTCATCCCATCCTCATCCTCATCCTTGTCACCCTCCTCCCCATCATCGTCATATTTCCCTTGTGCGTGCAACTATTGCGAGACAACGCAGCCATGCAGATAGGGTAATGCACATCTAGTGTGACATGTTTGGGGAGGGAGCCCAGTGGAACAAACCCTCATGATGGAAGGACACGCCGCGTAGCGGGATCTGGGGTAACAGAGATGCGGCAAGGAGGAAGCATATCTGACTCCCGTTGGGACGCACGCGAAAAAAAAGTGGCACCTCACATTGGACGGCTTTACACCCGCCACGGCCAGCTGCCAGAAAAGTGTGAAGACATCACAGCTTGTGTTTTCCAGATGCACGCGCTATCAAGAAGACCGGCGGCTCATCACAACACTCCCTGAGGAGGGGAAACCAAGTCTGAAATTACTTTTCAAGTGGGTTTCCCCTAAGTGGAAGTGTGGTGCCTCTCCCACCGGCAATACTTTCCTCATCCCGTCTTGCTTTTTCCCATCCGCACATAATCGTTTCGCATTTATATATACACACACGCACATCCAGAAACACACACACACACACACGCACACGCGCACACGCGCACACGCATAAGTCACACGTACACAACACAAGCACACGTACTCGCACACATACACCATACACCAGGGAAGAGTACCGGGTGCGGTCTCTATCCGCCCTACCGTCCAGAGCGTGGCAGGGGTAACACTTCCTCGCCACCCGAGGGAGTGCGTAGGGAGATCGGTCTCTTTTTGTCCCCCCATCCAGGGCGTGGCAGGGGTGGCACTTCACCACCAGAGGGGGGTGCGGGGTGCGCAGGGTGTGCGGCCTCTGTCAGCACCACCATCTAGGGCGCGGCAGGGGTTGCACTTCCTCGCAACCAGAGGAGGCGCAGAGGGGGTGCGGTCTCTATCTGTCCCACCGTCGAGGGTGGAACAGGGGTGGCACTTCCTCGCCACCACAAGGCGTGTGCAGGGGGTGCGGTCTGCATCCGTTCCACCGTCCACCGTTCCAGGCGCGGCAGAGGTGGCACTTCATCGCGTGTTCTCAATGCATAAAAATAAACTAAGTATTCGGGGTCCTTCGATCGCGTAACTCTGTTAAACACATTTACCACAGTGGATGTGACCACGTGATTATACTACAAGCTCTCATGAATATTTCTGCGGCCGCTTTCAGAACTGTCAGCTCTGATTTGAATGCTGAGCTTGCGTCTCCCTTACACTCGACACGTCTGCATGAGTCAGGCTTCGACTGCCTCCCACAAGTTGGGCTTTCCCTGCACCACTCACCACTCGCCTAGCGAAGCCCTCCACTTGCGACGCCAAGTAGAATGCAATCCTCATGCTCGGCGGCAGACAGTCTACCGCTTGCCCACCATCCAGAATGTTGGGTCCAATGTCGTTTCGTGCACGCCGATGTGCGGGATCCCGCTTGCCCCCTGCAATGGTTCCCGATGGTCGTCGCTGAAGGCCCTTGTCCATGCTGAGACGCGGGTGCCACTTATGTTTGGAGGGCGGGTAGGAGTGAGCGAGACGGCTTGTTGCTTGTGGGGAGCTTGACCCCTCCCCCTACCCCCTACCCCCAGGTCTGGACGGGGGCGGGCACGAAGTGCCACGAGGGTCCTTTTTGGCCAGACATGGCATCATCATGGCCCCAGATAGCCCAAGATGGCGTCCAAGATGGCCTAAGATATCCCAGTACAGTGGAGGCCCGACCACAAGGAACCTTCCACTAGAAACCCAACTCTGAGACCCTAGGACGTCCTTTGATTTTTGGTGTGGGAACGTCACGCATTCATCAGCAAAACCATCGAAACCCAAGAAACCCATGGCACCCTGGAGGCAAGAAGGGTGTTTCTTGGCATGGGCCTCCACTGTATTGCTCCATGTGGCCTCCAAGATGCTCCCAAGAGGCCCCAAGACCCTCCAATGGCGGCTCCAAGTGGCCGTGGAGCATCTCAAAGATATCCCGAAAAGACGAAAAACTGCCGACGGAAAACAACAGCATGGTGCATTCTCGCATGTTCGCTTCCGATGAGTGCCCGAAGCCTCAAGATGGCTGCAAAATGGCCCAAGAGAGCCCCAAGAGGGGCCCAAGAGAAGAGGCGACTTCTTGGGCCAAGTCAAGAAGCGGCCCCCATCGTTGATCGATGTCCCCCAAGGTCGCCCCCAAAAAGGGCCCCCAAGGCTCCCGAGAGGAGCCCAAGAGGGCCCGATGGCCCCCACAGTGGCCCCAAGAGGGCCCCGAGATGACCGAACTAAGGTGCCACATGCTCCCAGATCGAAAGGTCCGAGAAGGTAGTTATGGTTGACTCATGGAACTGCTCAAGCTGATCTCGAGCCCCGATGCGACGGCAACCCCCTGCCTGCTGCACTGCTCCTACACGACCCTGCTCAATGCAACTCGCCTGGGCATCATTCCTGGATGGGCTGAGTGGGGAGACGTGACGCGTCAAGAATTTGCTGCCCCGAGCCCAAACGAAACCACACAGACTACAAGCTCTCCCCAAGATGCGGCAATAAGCCTCCAAGAGACGCCCGAAGAGGAACACAGAGAGGCTATCAGAGAAAAAGACTGTGGCACAGAACAACCAGCCATGTGCTCTGATCCCGAGGCCGTTCGACTTCAGATCGCCCCGGGAAAGATTCAAAGACAGCTTTAAGAAGCCACCAAGGCGGTTCAAAACGGCAAAACAGCCCCCAGAAAGCCCTCAGGCGGCCGAAGACGGCCTAGGAGAGCTCCGAGACGGTTCCACGACCGAGGTAACGAGGTCGAGTTAATACCGATGCAAGTTCAGACAGTGCGCTGAACTGGCGTGAGTCTTACCCTCAAATTCCGTCACACTGCGCTGCTGCGATGGCACGGTGGCGAGTTTCACCGCAGGCAACTGGATATTCCCTCTCTACTTACTCCGTCTTCCCTTATTCTTGCTCTTTTCTCACGATAATATTGCCCTCTCCCCTTCCTCCTCGTGATCTAGCCTTGTATCCGCCTCCGAGTAATCAGCCGACCATCACCATTACCATCATAATCAAAATAATCGTCGTCATCATCATCAACAGCATCAGCATCATAATCATCGACATACTCATCATCAGCATCACTTAGCATCAAACTTACCAACATCATCCTCGCCGTCATCATCATCCGAGCCGTCATCATTACCATCAGCAGCAGCAGCAGCCGCACCAGCATCAGCACTATCAGCATCATCATCTTCATCATCATCACCATCATCATCATCATCATCACCACCACCACCACCACCACCATCATCATCATCATCATCATCATCATCATCGTGATCATATGTATCATAACCACCATCACCAAGACTGTTTTTTACATTTAAAAAATCGCCAACGTCTATAGATCAAGCCCGTGACAGGGGGCTGGAGGCCAACCGCCGAGCTTGTCTGGCGGGCCATGGACGGGGACCCGAAGTCATCCCGCCAACGTCCACCAGACGAGCCCGACGAAAGCCTCGAACCCCCACGGAACCACGGAGCGGGCCCATCCCCGCACCAGAACAGCGTTCTGGCCGAAGGCCTGAATAACAACGGAATTCGTGCAGCCAACGTGTGAGATCACAAGAGGGGCGATCAATCGAGTGAAACCCAAGGGTACGGCTGAGCACGAAGAGTCCAGAAACTTCTGGTCGGGCCCTTGCCGCAAAAATCGACATGCGGCTTCCCAATATCAGAGCAAGCCCCCTGGCCGTGGCAAGTCTCTGCAACAGCGGAGATGTAAGGACAGGACAATAAGCGAAGGCGAATAGGTTTGACCCACCGCATACTGTACTGACAGAAGTGAAGCACAGCAAATCTCGAAAGGATAAGCAGTTCAGGCATATCCCACCAAAAACTGGTGTTGGCATTATGCAAGGCCGCTGAAACGCCATGCTCGACGGCGCACTGCAAAATCTTAAGCAAGACCTGCAACCAGCGATTTCCGATAGCCATTTTAGCACGGTCCGAGGGCCCAAGGCCAGTGGGCCCGTCAAGGAGAGCGGAGTCGCGGAGCGGCCCGGGACCCAGACCGTCGTTTGTCCGGCCCAAGAAAAAGACGCGCAAGGAGTGCCGAGCCAGAAGAAAACACATTCACCAGAAGAGATATGTGCAAGCATCGATGCAACAACACGAACGCCAAGGACGTCGCCTGATGGGCCGCGTTCAATGTCCCACAGGCACCCTGCGACGCCAAGCTCACTGACAGATCCAGCCAGTCTGGCACTACCACAGAAGACCTCAATCACACATGTCCTGCGGAGAGACTTCGGCAGACTCCTGAAGGCTGAAGGGCAGGCTGCCAAGCGCCTCGAAGGATGGCCGAGAAATTGGCCTCGGCGCTTCGGCACCACACGCTCGCCTCGGGGGCCAGGACCTGTGAAGCTCCTGGACCCTCCATGCCTTCATGTAGCGAAGCAGTGCGCAATCGTTGGGCCAGCGGCCACGCTGCTTGATCGCCTGGGTCTCTCGTATCTTCATAAGAAAACCCCAGCGGCGCCACCAGCACATCTCGCGGCTCAGCGACCCGAGGCCCGCTCCTCGGCAGGCTGCCGGGAAGCGGCGAAGCAGCTGCGCCTGGCTGAAACTGCAGAGCCAGACCTCCGGACCTCCTCCGCGCAAGCCAGCAAGGAGCGCGCCCAGGTTGGGGAAGTCGCGGCTGCCCAGAGGCATCGCGTCGTCGAACTGGCCCACCTCGGCCGGCCCCCCCCCTCTCGAAGGGGCGCAGCAGCAAGCTCCAGCAGGACAGAGCTACGCCTGCGTTCGCCACCGGCTCGAGGCGGTCGCCTTCCACCATCGCGATGAGCTCGGGAGCCCCAGGGCAGCAGCTGAACATCAGCGCGACGGCCAGGACCTCCTCGCGGCGGCCGCGCAAGGCCAGCGCGCCCAGGACGCCCGCCAGCAGCCGAATGGGAAGGGGGCCTCTGCCCCCCGCGGGCCCCCTTCGGTCCCGCGCGCGGAAAACTCGACGGAACCTTGGGGGACTTGGCGCGCCGCATCTCTGGATGTCGTAGTTCCCTGGCGCGGCCAGCAGCTTGGCCCCAGCATCCACCTGCTCGCCGCCCAGGAACAGCAGGTCGGCAAAGTCGCGCAGCGCGTCGTCGCAGAGCTTCAGGTTGGCCAAGGGGAGACCTCGCCTTTGCCCGAACTCCCAGAATTTGTCGAGCCGCCGAGAATAATCCCTCCTGACGGGGAGAGGCGGATGGGCACTCTCGAGCACAGTCCGCTCCCCCTTCAAGGCCTTCAAAGCTGGGGCCGCCCCGCCAATCGCTCGAATCCGCGTGGGCGCCCGCTGCCTCCTCAGCACCATCCGTAGATCCGACCTCCGAGTCCTCTCTGCGAGCACCGTGCCCAAGGGGTCGGTCTCGCGGGGAGGCAGAAGGAGGACTGGAATCAACACCGGGCGACGCGGCGCCCGAGAGGTCGTCACCGTTGCCGAAGACACTGACGGCGCCAAGCGGCGTCGAACCACGATGCCGGCGTTCGGAGCCGCCGTCGCCACGCGGGGCGACGGGCCGCCAAGGCCCCTCTGCCATCTGCCTGCACAGTCCAGGTGCGAGCCGTGAAACGACGAGGGGGCCGCCTGCCGTCGCCATCAGACGGCAGCTCGAAGCACCTAGAGTCGGCGCCGCTAGGGTTTACCGCGGCAGGCACCCAACAAAAGTGATGGCGAGTGTTTGAAGCAACGCTGAGAGCCAATAGACGACGGCAAGCACCCAAGAACCACCCATGCTTAGCTCGGCCCTTCTCGAAGGCCAAGAACGCGGTCATGGAATCCCCTGGATGCAAGTGCGCCGCACCGAAGCTCGTTACGGCGCGCAACTCATGACGGACAGCAAACAGGCCCGCGCGGGCCTCAAGGCAGAAGATGGGCCCCTCGCCCTTCCAGGGGCAACGCGCGACCATGGCCCGGGTAGGCCCCGCAAGGTTCTCCTTGGGCACATCGCGGAAAGACCCTTCCAGAGACCATGGCGACAAGCGATCACAACGAGGCTCGACCGAGTCGGTGCCCCCCCGAGTCGAGCGACATGAAGTTGTCGAGCCTCGGGCGACCCTATCATTGACACCCCACTTGAAACGCCGCATCCCCACCCCCCCATTCACACTCCGCCCGAACCTCGAGCGAGCCCCGGGGCGCGGCGGCGACCCCAGCACCACGCTACTAGCGTCGAAACAGCTAACTCCCCAGTCGACCCCCCCCCCCCCGATCAGCGAGAGCGAACGGCACGAGGCAGCCAGCGGCCCAACGCCCCCCTTCCACCGAGGGCCAGAGAGGAAGCCGAGAGGCGCAACTCGCAGAAATAAAACCGCACGAACTGTTAAAGATGGACAGGAACAACCCATTCGGGCCGAAGTGGAAGGCAGCGTGACCCAAGAGCCCCTCAATCTCCTGACCCGACACCCCAGGGCCCCAGGGGCGGACCGAGCCAGTCGAGGACCGCCTTCAACTTCCACCTCCTCGCCCTTTTTCCACGAACAGCGCTGTTCAAGGAGTCGATTTCCAAGCCATGCGCGACTGCCCACTCGCCGGCAGCCTCGCGCTCGCGCGCGCGGAGAGCCCAAACTCTCAACGCCGTCAAACACTTGGGCGACTAGGTCATCAGTCCACGACTTGCCCTGGCCAAAGATGCTGACACCATCGATATAAGCGTTGAGCGCTGGGCGCCCCAGGCCAGAAGGGGCTTGCAGGACTCGAGCACGCGTCACCCCACGACCCCCGAGAACCGATGCACCACGGAAGTAGTGGCGGCTCGGGCGAAATAATGATCCCGGCGCGACCCTACCTAGGAGTTGGAGCATTTAGGAAAGCAACATCTACATATACATCGACTGCTACATGTACATCGACACCTTCATCTACATCCACATCAACATCAACAGCGAGACTCACACCCACATCTACATATACACCTACATCTACATCTACATCTACATCTACATCTACATATGCACTGCAGGTCCGGCTCTGCGTTGTGTGCTTTGCTTTGCTGTTGCTGATGCTGCGTTCCCTTTGCTTTGCTGCTGTCCTATGATATGATATGCTATGCTGCGCTATGCTATGCTATGGTATGATATGAGTTGCCATGCTGCGCTATGCTGCGCGATGCTACGCTATGCCATGCTATGCTATGCTAGGGTACGCTCGGCGGCGCTGTGTTATGCTAGGCGATGGTATGCAATGATTTGCTGCGCCATGCTATGATATGATATGATATGGTATGGTATGATGCGCGATGACATGATATGTTAGGCAATGATATGTTATGATATGCTGCGCTATGATATGTTATGCTACGCTATGCTATGCTATGATGCGATACGGTATGATATGTTATGGCATGCTGTGATATGGTGTGATATGATATGGTATGCTGCGCTGTGCTAAGCAATTCTATGGCATGTGATGAAATGATATACGGCACTGTGATATGATAAGATATGATATGATATGATATGATATTATATGATATGATATGATATGTTATGCTATGATATGCGTGGCTATGCTATGCTATGATATGATGTGTTAATGCTGCGCTGCGCTATGCTGCGCTGCGTTAAGCTAAGCTCAGCTAAGCTAAGCTACGCTGGTCTAGGCTAGGCTAAGCTTAGCGAAGCTCAGCTAGGCCAAGCGAAGCTAAGCTAAGCTAAGCTAAGATAAGCTAGGCTGATATAAATTAAGCTATGATACGCTAACTTAAGCTAAGCTAACCTAAGCTAAGCTAAGCTAAGCTGAGATAAGCTAGGCTAGGCTAGGCAAAGCTAAGCTAAGCTAAGCCAAGCCAAGCTGGGTGAACCCAGGGGGCGTAACTGGGGGAACCGCGGGGCGGATGCAAGGGGAGACGCCCGGGGCGAGCCCCACTGCCCGGCCCTTTAGGCACATAGAGCAAGAACCCTTCTAGGCAGAGCCTAGGTAGGGAAGAAGCCCACGACAATCCCATGGGAGCCGCGCGAGACCGCAGGAAGATAGCGTGGGCGGCCAGCACGCGCCATCAACTTCATGAATGCCAACCCTGAGAAGTCGCACGCACATCACTGAAGGCAGGGAAAAATATGGACTTAGTCCCGGCGGGAGACCACAGCAATAAGATTAATCCTCGACATCACCGAAGGCCACCACGCAGGGACCCCGTCGGCACGCGCACGCAGGAGACGCGCCGCATCTGCCGGCCCTCCCAGCCGAACATAGGGGCCATCTCGCATCCTGCGATTGGTAGGGGGGCAGTCAAGGATAAACCTCAAAGCCCAGACTTCGTCGTAACGAAGAAGGGGGCGAAGACGGCCTGGGACTCCCGGCCAAAACAGAAAAAACCTGACCGGTGACCCCTCATCACGAAGCCGAAGTAAGCATCAGCGTCAGCTTGCAAAACTAAGTCCACGCACGGCTTGACACACCCCCTACTTTTAACTACGTTCCCCCATTCGTCGGGCCCATGCAAGACCTCCTCTTCGAAGTTGACGAGACACCCTCTGGGCCCGCCCTCCAGCGCAGTAGTCACATCCACCGGCGACGCCCTAAGCAGGGGCAAGGAGAGCAGGTCCATGTCGCAACTTCCTATAGCAAGGCCAGAACTACCCTGGCAGTCCTGACCCGCGCCGAGCAACGACTTGCGGGTTGCCTCGACGTCGACAGCCTCTGGGACGCCAGTCCGACGAACGTCCAAGAGGTGCTGTAGAGCCTTCTCACGCGGCAGGGTAGGGCTCGAAAACCTGAGCGGCTGGCGCACGGATTCGGTGGCGCGGCTCGATACAACTCTCCCTCGGTCGAAACGCCGCTGCAGTCGCCTGCCGCGATGCCTCGGCCAAGTGGATGTCGACCACGAAGGCGGCAGAGGAAAGAAGAGGAACTCACGAGGATCCAAACGGAAGTCGGACATCAGAGATGGCTGGCACCTGACGAACAACACCCAGCAGGGCCCCTAGAAAGGGTGGCCACCAGACCCCCCCCAACTCTTGGCGGGGTCCGTTGTCCTTGCCAGGGCCGCAATTGCCCCCCAGCCTGGACTCGTCGAACGCCTTCCTTTTCTCCTTCGAGATCGCCGCCTTATCCTTCGGCCTGTCGGCCGCATAGCTCATCGAAGCGTCGGGCGTGCTGCCCATGCCTTTGGTCTCGGCCCAGCTCATCATGTCGGCGGCGCTGCAGTCGGGGTTGCTGGGGGACGACGAATGCGCCTCCTCCAGCACGTTCGGTGGCGCACCAACAGCTCGGCCCCCGCTGGATTCGACAGGTCGCACCGGTCATCAGATTGCAGCGCGTGGAGCACCTCGCAGATAAACTTATACTCGCGCACCGAGCGGTCGCCAGGCAGGATGCGGGCAGCCACGGGCCACTCGCGAGCCTGAGTCTGCCACGTGAGACCCTGCGAACGCAGGGTGGTGCCCGTCCCCCAGGTGATCCGCGGGCCCTTCGGGAAGCCGTCCAGGCTCGGCTCCTCGAACAGCTCGAGCGCCCCGTCGTTGAAGCTGCGCCTCCGCACGTCGTGCTCGAACCTCGGCTTCAGGATACGGCAGTCGCTCATCTAGGATGCGTAGAGGTCGATATTCTCGTCGCGGAAACCACTCACCTTCTGAATCACAACCAACTCGACGAACATAGGCACCACGCTGCCAGACTGGAGCGTACAGGACGACACCGATTTCGTGCTCGTGAAAGGCCCTGCGGGGGGCACCGGGGCTTCGTCGCCGATCTTGAAGGACCCGCACGGCTCCGCCAGGAGCCACTTCCCCGCGCCCGGCACCCCCCCAAAAAAACGACCTGCTGCGGCACGACGGCGCCCACCTGGCCCCAACCCAGCAGCTAAGTCTGCACCTCCGCGCTCGCCGAAGCCATCTGGAGGTAGGTCAACGTCAGGGACGCACGAAAGGCATAGACGGGCTGGCGGGGAGGCGCAGGCGGGCGACCCGCGTCGTCCAAGAAGGTCACGGAGATGATGGCGGGGTCGTTGCGGTAGTCCTCTTCGTACTCATGTTGGTCAGGCGTCGCAACCCACGCCGACCAACCTCCAGGATGCCCCTTTATCACCAAACGTTCGTGTGAGTACCCCTCCCCCGCAAAGTCCACCAGGAGACAGCACCATCGGCGTAGCCCCGCCTTTGTCGGCTGAGGCCACCCATCCAATCTCATGTCGATCTGTGGATGCGCGGGTGGAGGTGGACCCTCCTGCGCCTGCTGTCCTGGAAAGGCGCCGACCAAGGCCATGGCGGGCACATCAGGGGCACAGGGCCAGGAGGGAGCACAAAGTGCTTTGGACATCGCAGGCCACGTTGATCCTAGAGATCGAGTCGACGGAGGGAGAGTTGATGTGATGATTATCGATGAAAGTTTGATTGACAGAATTATTTCCCTTGAGGCTCTCGAAGGGCTGCTGATACAAACAATTGCACACACCAATTCAGTTAACCTCGACATCCACGTGAACTGGCTGCATGGCGTACGGCCACGATTGCCTGTCGGCTCCCACCAAGTATCCTCAAACAGCGCCAATAAGAACATGACAGCACTTGCGAGAAAACAGCTTGAGTAAAACAGAGGGATTACGGGCACACAAATCCCAAGGAACTGAACTGTGCAAACTACGGCGCTGATGTTTAATTGTCACATCGTCATCGTCATCGCCATAACCATCATCATCATCATCATCATCATCATCATCATCATCATCATCATCATCATCATCATCATCATCAGCAGCAGCAGCAGCAGCAGCATCAGCATCAGCATCATCATCATCATCATCATCGTCATCGTCATCGTCATCATCATCAGCATCCTCATCATCATCAGCAGCAGCAGCATAAGCGTCAGCAACAGCACCAACAGCAGCATAACCAGCCATAGTCCTAGATCAACTCGTCGTAATTGTCAGTAGCAGCAGTCGTCATAATCGGCATCATCCTCATAATCATCCTCCTCTTCCTCCTCCTCATCGTCGTCATCATGATGATCAGCATCAACATAAACATCAGCAGCATCATCATCCTCATCATCGAAATCAGCAGTATCAGCAGCAGCATCATCATCATCATCATCCGCAGCAGCAGCGACAGCAGCGTCATCGTCATCATCATCACCACTGATGCATCCTCATCATCATTATTGTCATCATAATCATAATCAGCAGCAGCATCATCGTCATCAGCATCATCATCGTCATCATCATCACTAACATAATCATCATCATAAATATCAGCATAATCAGCAGCATAATCGTCATCGACGTCCTCAGTATAATCATCATTACCATGATCATCATCAGCATCATCAGCATCAGCAGCATCATCGTCACAGTCGTCGTCATCAGCATCGTTGTCGTCGTCCTCATCATCGTCATCGTAAGCATCGTCATCATCATCATAATCAGCAGCAGCATTAGTATTACCATCACAAATACCATCATCATCAGAATCGGCATCATCAGCAGTATCATCATCACCACCATCGCCGTCATCGTCAGCATGAGCGTCCCTCTCGAACGAAAGCCCCCTCACAAGCACACATCCCCAGCGAATGGCCTCCAGCAAGGCGCAAGCGAACTTCCACTGGTTGCCGCCGTGGCATGCGCTGCCCCCCGTACCAGCTTTGCAAAGGGGCGAAGGCAGGGAGAGGGTGAGAAATAGCGACAGAGAGAGAGACCCAGAGACTCAGACACACCTCTGGCCGAGTGTCATCACCGCAGCGAGAGCTAGAATGGGATGCAGGACAACATGCATGAACCCCACACCCATACAAGAACAATAGCTTTAATACAGAACTGGCCAAAGAAACAAACAGGCATCCACGATCAAGAAGCGAACAGGCAAACACAAATTAGCCGCGTATGATGTACATAACACGTCTATCTACAAGTATGTTAATGTATATATACACACGAGCACTCACGCGCGCATGCAAGCACGCACGCACGCGTGCGCGCAGGCAAGGGCGGTGCGGGGTACGAAACAGGACACTGCAACCACGGAGAGAACGTGATCCACCGCCGCTATACTGTGGAAAATTGCCAACCTTTTCTTCCGGAGCCCGGGGGTCGCCCCCCCCCCCCCTCCAAAAATCCCCCCCCCTGCTGGACCCCCCCCCCTCCCCCGGCAAAACCCCCCCTCCCCTAACCCCTCCCCCCCCCCCTCCCCCTCGAAAACCGGTGGGGGTCACTACCGGTTCGACCCCCCCCCCCCCCGAAAACCGGAAAACCAGGGGGGGTCACTACCGGTTCGAACGCCCCCCCCCCCCCTCGAAAACCGAAGAATGGTCACTACCGGTTCGAACCCCTCTCCGCCCCTCCCACTCACCGCCAGCAAACGACTCCCGGACCCTACCACCGTTCGCATCACATCCCCCACTGTTGTTCCCAGCACCACTGTCCTCACCACCACTGTCCCCACTGGTTCCACCACCGTCCCTACTGTCCCCACCAGTGCCCCCACCACTGTCGCACTGTCCCCACTGTCCCCACCACTGTTCCCACCACGGTTCCACTCTCCCCACTGTCTCCACGGCCCCAACCACTGCCCGACTATCCCCACTGTCCCCACTGTCCTACTGACTCCTCCGCTGTCCCACTGAGCTGTCCCACTGTTCCCACCACTGTCCCCACTGTCCCCACCACTGTCCCCACTGTACCTCTGTCCATTGTCCCACCGCCGTCCTCGCCACCGCCTTCACCACTGTCCCCACCACCATTGTACCCTCCACTGTCCCACTGTTTCCACCTCATTCCCACTGTCCCCACACCACTGTCCCCACCACCACCGTCCCCACCACTGTCCAACCACTGTTCCCACCATTGTCCCCACCACTGTCCCCACCACTACCGTCCCCACCACTGTCCCACTGCCCCACTGTCCCCACCACTGTCCCGCTGTCCCCTCACCACTGTCCCCACCACCACCGTCCCCGCCACTGTCCGCACCCCCACTCGGTTTTCGAAGGGGGGGGGGTTCGAACCGGTAGTGACCCCCCCCAGTTTTCGAGGGGAGGGGGGGGAAGGTTCGAACCCGTAGTGACCCCCCCCCCTCTTTTCATGATGAACTGGGGGGGGGGGAGGGGTTCGAACCGGTAGTGAACCCCCCCCGGTTTTCCGGAAGGGGAGGGGGCGGGGGGAGGGGTTCGAACCGGTAGTGACCCCCCCCGGTTTTCCGCCATCAGCGGTAGAACACGCTCTTTCCAACCACGGCACAAGGCTCGGGATGCGGAACAAAGCCTCCCACGCGCTGCTGAACTCTGGAACATCCTTCGTGTGCAGAGACAAGTGCACTTAGTCGGCAAGACCGCCCAACGGCGCGCGTCCCTTGGAGCGAAGCCGACGGTCTCAACCATGACTATGGGTGTTAGTGCATGTATATGTTCCTGCCTTGTTTGCTCGCAATGGCACCGAGCAGAGTTCCAACGCATTCTCCATCAGTGGAACCGTGCTTTTTGTTTTGTTGTGTTTCTTGTTCCCTACCTAGGCTCTGCCTGGAAGGGTTCTTACCGTGCAAGCTTAAGGGGCCGGGCAGTGTAGATCGCCCCAGGCGGTGCCCCCGGCATCCGCCCCGTGGTTCCCCCAGTGACGTCCCCTTAGCTTAGCGTTGCTTATCTCATCTTATCTTGGCATATTTCATAATAGCTTAGCTTAGTTTCATCTTAGCTCAGGTTTATCTTAGCTTAGCCTACCTTCATCTAAGTGTCGCCGAGCTTTAGCATAGCACAGTACAGCATAGCAGAGAAGAGCGTAGCGTAGCATAGCGCAGCACAGCATATCATAGCATAGCCCAGCATAGAATAGCATAGCGCAGCATATCATAGCATACATAGCATAGCGCAGCACAGCACATCATAGCACAGCGCAGCATAGTATAACATACCATAGCATAGCATAGCAGCAAAGCAAAGGCAAAGCAGCGCTGCATTAGTATAGCATAGCATAGCATAAAATAACCAAGCATAGCATAGCATAGCATAGCATAGCATAGCGCAGCATAGCATAGCATAGCATAGCGCAGCTTAGAATATCATAGCATTGCATAGCACAGCGCAGCATGACATAGCATGGTTTAGCATAGCATAGCGCAGCATAGCTTAGCATAGCATAGCATCGCATAGCGCAACATAACATGGCATGGCATAGCATAGCATAGCAACTAATGCTGCTTTCCTAGGGGGTCCAACTTCTGGCAGGGTCGCATTGGGGCAATGTTTCCTGAAGCTCAGTTGGCCGGCCAAGTGAACGTTACCACACCATGTTAATACTACGTTTGGCCGCGAAGGCCAGTTCCTATCGATTGCTTCACGCTTGAGCGCATGCGCATTTGGAGCGGAACAGCCAAACGATGTTAATGTCACGTTTAGCCGCCATCGGCGGCGGCTCCTGGAGAGGAGGAGAACGACATCAGAGCACAAGGAGCAACGCTCAGGCCAACCTGCAATAGGCGAACCGTTGCGCACCACCAAGGATCGAAGAGACCGAAGACAGATCATATGTCAGAGTCCAAGCTCCGTGCACGAGCACAAAGCTAGAACGCGGAACACAGAAATCCACCGCCCGATCGATACGAATTGCAACGCATCTTCCCCTGGCATGCCGAAGCGTTGTGCGGCAGTCCCCTTACTGAATGGCCTAGTCGGCCGAACCAGTAAGTCGGCCTCTCTCGGCCTCTCTCGGTGTTCGACTTCGCATCAGCTGGAAGACTAGCGAGCGCCACTTAAGCACTCGAGTCATGAGGCTCAACTATCGGATTTCCAACTGGGCCGACTTCCCCGTCGTTCGGCTGAAGCGTGGTCGATTGTTCTAGTCGGATGTTTGTTTGGCACTTGGTTGGGGCTGGAAACAGGCATGATATTACTTTATGGCGTGGCTTGTTTTGCCATGGCATGGTATGGTATGGTGTGGTATGATCTGTCATGGTATGGAACGGCGTGGTGTTTTATGTGGTGGTGTGGTATGATATGGCATGATAGGGTGTGGCAGTGAAGTGGTATGATACGGTGTGGTATGGACTGATATGCGATGGGATGCTATGGCGTGGTGCGGTATGCTACATAATGCTAGTGTATGTGAGTGTTTAGCTATGAGATGGCATGGTATTTTACACTGTGGTAACATATGGTATGTAATGCCATGGTGAGTTAATTAGTGATTGGATAGTGCATGGTATGCTATGGTTTCACATGATATGTCATGGTAGTGCATGCTATGAGTGGCCTGTGTTGTTATGTTGTGGTATGGTGTGTCGTGGTGGGGTGTGGGGTGTTGTGGTGTGTCATGGTGTGGTATGGCTTGTTAAGTATAGTGTGATATGGTTGTGTCATGCTATGGTATGGTATGGCATGCTATGGTATTGTATGGTGTATTATGTTATGGTGGCGTCGTGTGCCATGCTGTGCTATGTTATGGCATGTTATGTCGGGGGCTAATGCGACTGAAACGTCGCAACCCCGTACTCTGGGCAGAGAGATACACTCTACAACGGCTGAAACGGACATGCTAGCAATATTCCTGCCTTCATGATTTCCGTAGCCACGATGGCTCGAAAACGCCAAGCAAGCAAGGCTACCCACGGGCTGTTGCAGAGCCCCGTGAGGGCCAGCCTTATTGATTACGAAGTGCTCGGGCGCGTCAGCGCTAGAGCGAAAACATCATCGACGAGGGGGTGAGGAATAGCGACAGAGAGAGATAAGGAGAGCCAGACACATACAAGCACTTGAATATTCCAGCCGCAGCGAGAGCTAGAATGAGATGCAGGATAGCACAAATCCCACAGCCATACAATCACAAGCGCAATAGCCTCAATTCAGAACTGGCCAAAGAAACAAGCAGGTAGCCACAAGCAAGAGACGAACAGGCAAACCCAGCCGAGCCGCATATGATGTATATAACATATGTATATACATGTATATACCCACGCGCGCAGTCACGCAAGCACGCACGCACGCACGCGCGCGCAGGCAAAGACGGTGCGGGGAACGACACAGGACACTGCACCCACGGCACAAGGCTCGGGAAGCGCAACAAAGCCACCGGAGCGCTGCTGAACACTGCAGCATGCGTCGTGTCCTGAAACACGTGCACTTCGGCGACAAGATCAGCCGACAGCGTGCGTCACTTGGAGCGAAGCCGACCGTCTTAACCAAGAATTCCGGCTTCGAACGAAAGGGTACATAAACCAAAGAGAAAACAAAATACCCATACCGATACTCCCCAGAACTCTGCAAGAGCGCGTTCTGACAAGGATTCTGGGGCGAACCCAGCCTCGGCGACGCGGGCTATCCAGGACGCCCAACACATGGAAAAAAGTAGTGAAGCAACAGTGTGAAAAAGGAGTAAAGAACAATGGGCCAAAGATCTGCGCCCTGCCACTCCAGTGAGGAGAAGATGAAAGAGAGGGAGGAGGAGAGGACGAAGTCGAGGAGAGAAGGAGGGGGAGGAGGATGAAGAAGCAGCGAGAAGAGAGGGGAGGGACCGAAAAGCCCTTTGGGCTGAACGCAGCGCGACCGCGCAGTGCCGTCCCACTGGCAGCGATCGGGACAGCCACTGGCCTTTGTCACCAATATGGTTTCGTCTTACCTCGTTATCCTCCTCCGTTTCCCCTTCCGCAACATCATCAGCATCTCCGCCACCACCACCATCACCACCACCACCACCATCATCATCATCATCATCATCATCATCATCATCATCACCATCACCATCACCATCACCATCACCATCACAATCACCATCACCACCACCACCACCACCACCATCATCATCATCATCATCATCATCATCATCATCATCATCATCATGATTAGCATCATCATCGTCATGATTATCATCATCATCAGGATCAGCATCATCATTATGGTCATCATCACCACCATCATCGTCGCCATCACCATCATCATCGTCATCATCATCAGAAGCAGCATCACCATCATCATCATCATCATCAGCAGCACCACCATCAACACCATCACAAACACAATCACCATCACCGATCTCCTCCTCCTCCGCCTCATCATCATCGTAGTCGTCATCATCATCATCATCACCATCATCCTCATAAGCATCATCATCATAGCCCGAATCATCAGAATCAACATCGTCATCATCAGCAGCAGCATCACAATCATCATCACCATCACCATCACAATCATCCTCGTGGTTCTCGTAATCGTCTTCCTCCCCTCATCATCACCATCGTCACCGTCATCATCATCATCATCATGAGCATCATCGGCATGATCAGGATCAGCATCATCGTCATCGTCAGCATCAGCATCATCATCAGCATCATCATTATCATCGTCATCAACATCAGAATCACCAGCATCGCCATCGCCATCACCATCACCATAACTAGAATCATCATCATCACCATCTTCATCACCAACACCAATATAAAAATCACCGTCATCACCACCATCATCACCACCACCACCAACACCAGCACCACCACCTCCTCCAGCATCACCATCACCATCATCAACATCACCACCACCATCATCATCATCATCATCATCATCATCATCAGTACCACCACCATCGTCATCGTCATCATCGGCGTAGTCGTCACCATCCTCGTCGTCATCATTGTCATCGTCGGCAGCGTTATCGTCATCGTCATCAACATCATGATCACCGTCATCGTCATCATCATCATTATCATCATCATCATCATCATCACCATCACCATCAGCATCATCATCATCATCACCATCATCATCATCATCATCGACATCCTCATCGTCATCGTCGTCATCATCATCGCCACCAGCATCAGCATCATCATCATCGTCATCATCACAAGCATTAGCATCAACGTCAACATCAACAAAGTCATCATCACCATCGTCATCATCGTCATCATCATCAGCATCATCATCCCTTCTCCCTCCTCACTCCATTATCTTCCTTCCTCCACCTCATACTCCTCCTCTTCCCACCCACCCCACCTCCTCCTCATCCTCCTACTCCTCCTCCTTCTCCTCCTCCTCCACTCCAACCCGTCGTCCTCCCCCCTCTCATTCATCCTCCTCCTTTTCCTCATCATCATCATTATCATCATCATCAGCATCATCAGCAGCATCAGCAGCATCATCATCAGCATACACCTCTTCTCATTATAAATACACAACGCCTGCGTGGCGCACCCGCAGACGTGTCTGTAGGGCCGACCAGATATTTCGCCTGACTTCCTCGCAATTCGTATGATCCTGAGGCTTGTTATGTGCAAAAGTGTCAGGAATGGAGGGCGGAACGTGTTCAAAATGTGGCTCGTGCCTCAGCGCCGCGCAAATCGGTCCCGAAAGTTTATAAAAGCTTCAAAGAGGGAGGGCGATTCCTTTTCAAAATATGGCTGTCGCCTCAGCGCCGCGCACATCAGATATATGGACTCATAGGGCTGAAGTCCCAGAAAGTGCGTTCTGGCACGATTGAGGATTGTCAGGACGCAACAGTCAAGTTGATTAACAGTTTTGAAGTCCCAGAAATGGCGCTCTGGCAGGACGTACGACTATCAGAACACAACAAACACATTGATTGGCGGCGTTGACGTCCCAGAAACTGTGTCTTGCCACCATTGAGGCTTCTCCGACGGTGGTCTTTCAATGAGGCACCCCCCGCAAGGAGTCTCATAAAGACCTATGAAAAGAGAGAGCTTGGGCGGAGGGTTGATTGCAACATCGTTGACGCGCCTGCTGTTTACACGGGTCCTCCTCCTCCTCCTCCCCGCCCTCTGCCTCCCCCCCACCCTCAGGAACGGCACCGCCCCCGAGGAGAATGCCGAAGGCGGGCCGGCGAGATCCCCCCAGCGAATCCTGATGACGGCGCTGTAGGCCACGAGGTCTGGCGCGAGGCCGCTGGCCCGCATTCGCGCGAACAGCGCCACGGCGGCCATCCACTGCCCCCGCAGCGGAGGGGGGCGTAGGGGGAGGGCGAGCGGGGAGGGGAGGAAGGGGGGCGGGAGGATGCAGGGGGGGAGGAGGAGGACGACGAGGAGGGAGGGGGGAGTAAAGACGGGAAAAACGAGGAAGGGGAGGTGAAGGAGGGACGAAGGGGGGACAACGAACAGGGAGGGGAGATGACGAAAAGAGAGGTTTTCGGCATTCCAGGGCGACAATACGCAGGCATAGAGGGAGGGAAGAGGAAGCATGAGGAAGGAGGGAGGACGAGAACGAGGCCGAGGGGGGAGGGGGGAGAGGGAGGAGGGAGGAGGACGACAACGAGGACCTCCCCCCCTTTTCCTTGCGGCGCGCGAGAGGGGAGCAGGGCCAAGGGAACGCATTCTCAGAATGCAGGGGTCTGCTTACAAGCCCACCGGTTTCCCAGGATGCCTTCTTAAAAGCATACTGCACGTTCTATGTAGCCCCGTGCCTCCTTTGACGGGGAGAGACGTTCGGTCAGTAAACTGTTTTTAGTGATGATGAGTCTCTGTAATAGCACAGAGGTTGAAATCACAAGAAATAGCCATGGCGGCAACGAGCGCAATAGACGATTGCATGCTCAACTTAAGTGACCGTGCCCCCGCCACGCGCTGGATGTGGTCCGCTGGGCTGTGTTGTTTACCGACCACTATTTGGCGGCACGGCGGCGGAAGGGTGAAATAAGATAGGAGCGAAGGTCTGATGCGGCGAAGGGCGCAGGAGCATTTCTCAATATGTACACATATGTTCACGTAAACACACACACAGAAAAAAACACAAAAACACACGCACACGCACACGCACACGCACGCACGCACGCACACAAACACCCGCAGTCGATATGCGGAAAGAGCGACACCCCTCGCGCAAGAACGGTCCTCCCGTTTTGCGATGAAACCGGTTCTGCGTAAAGCGTTGCCTGCTAGCGCGTGTCTGACCCTGCCGCACGTGTTTGGTATACTCGCCTGTAAAGCCAATTCGACAAAACATGTTCTCTTACAACAAGTCCACCTGGGTCGCAACCCCACTACAGCATGCAAACCCGCTGCGTAACAAGGGCATTTATGTATCCGAATATAGCCACGCCGCTCGTCTTCCCAATTGCTATGCATCAGGCCCTCCCGATCAGACCAGTCTTCGGCCTCATAGTATCTCGGCGCAATGTCCCCGATACAGTGGGACTTGGTGCAATTCTAGAGCAGTCCAAAGTCAATGTGAAGGACGCCTGGACGGTACCCGAGGATCACTCAATAAGCGTCTGGCCAAGCATGTACAATGGCATTATATGTGTTCCATGTGATGCGGCCCTGGTACATCTTGACCACCTCCCCACTAGACATTGTGGGAAACGTAGCTATGTTGTCGGCGGGTCCTCTTGAGATGCTTTGGGCTAAAAACTGCCCAGGAAGTCTTCGAGGCAGCCCAGCTGAAGACCCCGAAGAGCCTTCACATGAGGGCCCCGAACGGCCAAAAACATTGATCGCCCTATGTTTGTTCACTGTTTGGGGTGCTTTCCATTTTCCGTTTCCGACGCCCCACGACGCCCCAAGAGGCCCCCAAGACCACCCCAAGACGGCGACAGAGGCCCCCAAAGGGGCCCCAAGACGACCCAGTAGAGACCCAACACGGCGCCCAAAAGTCGCCCAAGACGGCCCACGAGGGCCCCAAAACGGCCCAAGACGGGACCAAGACGGGGAACACGAACCAAAAACCCGAGCCGACCATCCAAAAAAAACCCAAGGTACCAGAAGAAGCCCCCAACAGGACCCAAGGGGCCCAAAAGAGGCCCAAGAGAGGCTCCAAATCAGCCCCCCAGAAACGTCAAAACTGCCTCCAAGAGGCCCCCGAGAGGCCTCGACGAGATCCCAACTACCATCCAAGAGGCCCCATGCCCACAACTCAAGCACGGTGGCGGGAGGCAGCAAAGGATTAGATCCGCTGCCCACTGCTGCTTTATCACAATGGGTGCTTAGCGTGCTGAGCCCTACGGTTTTTGGTTTGGGTACTTGTCCAATAACGTTCCGCCTCGGGTTTCAGCCCAGTTGCTGGCCACACAGAAAAACCGCCGAGCATGTACAGCTCGTGGATGTTCGAGCCGTGGACGGCGTCCCGAAAGGCCAACAATCTGCCAAGATGGCCCAAAATGGCCTCCAAGTTCGCCCAAGATGGATTAATATGGCCTCCAAGACGGCCCAATAGGGCCCAAGACTTCCCAAGTCCGCCCACGAAGCCACCAATACAGCCCAAGTAGGGCCACGACGGCCCCAGAAGTTCGAAGCAGGAAAGCCACGCCATGTCTGTGTAGGGATGGAAAGCAATGGCGCGGAGAGGGATGGCGACGGGGGGCGAAAAGGGCCACGATCACTCCTGGCGCCGCAGATGAAGCGCAGGCGGCGTCGCCAACGCCGGCAGATTGGGCGACGCTGCCTTTGAGCCAGGACGGCAGCGAAATAGGCGCGCACTGCATGCCCCCCCTTCGGAACACCCCCTCAAAGTCGAGGGGGGGGGGATGCCCGATCGCCGCTGCCTCTGTTGATGATTCGAAACGGTAGCTAAAGCATCTGGTAACAGACAGGCTCGGTTACCACAGCTTCAAAGAGGCAGATATATTCGTAGTGCTACAGGGGACATGCGAAGAAGTGGGCCATCTTCCCATGAACCAGTCAGCCCCGCGCCTAGGTGCAACAGGGCACAGGCAAGCTGAGAAAATACAGTTTGCGCTGGGCCAGCCAGCCGGCGACCCAGAAAGCATGGGAGGGGGCCGATGGGGCCGATCCCGCGCCGGGCAGAATGCTTGTTAGCGTCCGCGCCACTAGCGCCAAGCAGCGACTTGCATCCCCAGCCAAAAGGCAAGCTGAAAGAACGCGGGCGGGGGCCCACGCCCAGCCAATCGCGGCCCCGCGACAACAGACGGGCCAGAGGGGCGCTGGCGCGCGCTCGCTCCGAGCGGCCGCGGTGCCACGCAGTCTCTGAGCGGGGCAGAAAGAGGGGGGCCATCACGTGAAACTAGCGGCCGCGGCTGAGCAATCCCTGAACCCACACGGGCCCGTCAGGGCGCATGAACAGCAGCGGCTTCACGCTCTGGCAATATGAGCGCCACTGCGATATGGCGCATGTGACTTCACTTCGCGCGCGCAACTCCGGTTTGCCCATGACCAGCAAGAGCGGGCCACGGTCGATGGAACACGCGGCGCGACCATCCACCGCCACATGTCGGGCGCCGCACCACCGCGCGCCGCGCATGATCCCGAGTCCCAGAAAACATATGAGCCAACTGACGTGGCCCAGCAATGTATTTTTCTGCAGGTGCCTTCAGGTCTTGCCTGCAGGTGTCTTTTCGGGATAGAAACCTGCAGACGGACGCGGCACCGATCGCGAGGGATACCTCGACACAGAGCCCACCCTGTTCACGAAGATGTCTGAGTCCAGAATGGGCCAATGGACCGTTCATGAATTCATACAGCGTCGCTACGGAAGGATGGCATTCACCCACGCTGCGCGCAGCAGCAACTGCACCAGCAGCGCAGCTGGACCTAACTTGGAGACGATGAGACTCCAACGAATGACCTCCTCCTCGCTGCTCGCAATTCCACGGCGCAGTAGGTTGCATCATCGGAAACCGTAAGAATTCATTTCGCCGTCCACTTATTATGCGAGCTCTCTGTAGCCCGAGTCGCAGCGTAGATCCACCGCGCCGCCAGGCGTCGCCGCGCGGGAGGTGATCTTCTTGGGGCATTGCGATAATTTGCGAGTGAGGGCACTCAGGGGTCTCACCTGGGGGCCCGCCAGTGCCCGACAGCGTTGTAGCGACACAATATACACCATGATCCAGAAATCGGCAATTGCGGAGTAGCCAAGTGCACCCCGAAGACTGGCGAGCAGGTCGCCGACCGTCTTGCTGGCCGTCGCATCTGGCGATGCTCCGACGAGCTCGGGGCACGCGATTGGGCGCACTTGTTTGACGTAGTCGTCTTGATCCACGATCACGTCGCCCTTCTCCGCCCTCATGTATCTTACTGCGCACTTCGTATAATTATGCGTGTTAAGCAAGCACGCACCAAACATGTTCTACCGCGTGTACAGTGGAGCGACGACTAGCCCCCCATGCTGCACACGATGATGTCACCCACGTGTTTGGTAATAAGCAGGTCTGGGGCAGCTTCGAATCCTGGATCCTATGGCACCCAACATTTGAGACGGCGACGAGACTCGCCGCCATCTTCAAACCTAGGCAGCGCGCGCAGGACAGAGGCACTTCCAGGAGGCAAAGTAAAACATACATGACGCTCCTGTTACCCTGTTGCCCCGGCAAATTCTTGATCAGTCAGGCCCTGAAGAGCGGCTTCGTCCACGCCCAGATTGGCGAGGATCTAATCTTCATGACAAGCAGCCCCCCTGGCGAGGAGGCGCCGCGAGGTGCGCTTGGCCGCGCCTGACAGAAGGGGCCCGCGCAAAGGCCGCCTGGTCCACGCGGACACTCAAAACGAAACGAATACAAAAAAAACTCAATATTACTGAAGTCGGCAAGCGCGATCTTCCATGCACGCGCACACCGAGAGGCCATGACAGTTTGGGCCGCGAACAGCAAATCGTCGGCAAAGCCTCGGTCCTCTAGCCAGGAGTGCGCCGGAGACTCGATTGGGATGGCTCAAAGCCCTGCTTGGTCAGTAGCTCATCCCCCTTCACGACAAAAGCCGGATTGATTTTTGTCGAAACGCAAACACGCTCTGTCGCGATCTCGCGAGAGCGCACGGCGCTCAGTTGTGGCCCGTCCAAAACCATAGCGGCCATGTCCCCTGCGAAGCATAGCTCGTCGCACTCCCCATTGGCGCCGGTGCCAACGTCGCAGTGGTCACCTGCAGCTTCGCAAGTAAGCACTTCAAAGCCATGCTACGGCCACCCAACCTTTGGTGAGAGAATAGCACGTCGCGCTGGATATGTTCGCAATTGCCCTCGGTCCCCGCTTGGGACACGATGA